AGATATATATATATATATATATATATATATATATATATATATATATTTGGTGAAGAAAACAAAAAGTGAAGAGGCAACAACAACAAAAAAGCGGCAGCTCAGAGACATCGTGTCCGATAAGAGCGTCGAAACGAGAAAAGAAATGCGTCCTTATCAACAACACCACGAAATGGGAGCGCTGAAAGTGATGGGGACCAACCACATCACCAAACAGCAACAGCGGAAGATCAAATTGTTCAAAGTGAAGTGCAAATACAGAGAAAACACATCAGCAAGAACAACAACAAAGAAGAGAAAACAGTGAAAAAACAAAGTAGCATATTTAGAAACGTGCAGGTAAACAAAAAGCGAGCGCAGAGTACGGTATTTTTTTAAATAAAGAAAAAATTACTACAAACGCTGACCACAGCGGAATGAAGGAATTTTGTGTCCACAACGTGTAGCAAAAAAGCCTGAAAAAGAGAATTTCACTTGGCTTGCACAGCTCGGACACGTTCTTTACCTTCTCTCCTAAATCACCTTCTCTGACACAGGAAAGGGAAGTGAGGAAGAGAGCGGCAGAAAACTGTAAATGCCACGCGACAAACAACGAAGAGGACAAAAAAGACTAAAGAAAAGTGAAGGGTCGAGAAGACATAAACTAACTCAGTTACCTTGAATGAGCCATGGCGAAATATAGAGGATGAATGAGAAGGGTGAAGAGGAAAACACAAAGCAGAAACGGAGAGGGGAGCACATATCTCAACAACAAAAAAAAACCTGCTAATTCTATTTAGATTACGCACACACAAAACAATTAGAGAGGGAGAGAGGGAGACAGATAGAGAGTAAGGAGCAGTATTGAGCGGCCCTCGATATACTTCGTTGCTGCAGCAGCAAGCGTGTCTTCGAATTCAGATATCGTTGCGTCTGCGGCCCCCTCTTGTTCATTATTATTAGTTTGATCGTTGCCAAGGTTCATTGCCGTTTTCCAGTAACGTGATTCAGTAGAGCAAAAAAAAAGTTTTAGAAAGAGAAAAGATTACAGCACAGGAGCCAATTAAATGTTTACAAAATGGAGTGTAACGACGTGACAAGCATTGCCCGCGTTAGCCGTTAAAAAGAAAAAAACAAAACGTCCACAACCTGGTAGTAAAGGGAGGAAGTATTTAGTTTAATTACGCATATTGGTTTGTTCACGTAGCGTGTCGCGTGTGCCGCACTGTCTCCGATCGTGTTCTCCCGTTCGTGGATAAAGTAGCGCATTGCAGCTCAAAAGAGAGCCAAATGTGCAGAGGAGGGATAGTGTGAACAAGAAAATTAAACAACAGAACTCAAAAAAGGAAAACAAAGTGGTGTCCTCTGATTGTTTTTTCGATGGCTCAGCATTATCTATTTTCATCAAAATTACTGTCACCGTGGTGAGCATCTAAGCACCTCTTTTCCACAATCATTCTTTCCTTCATCGTTTTCTCTTTTGCCCAGCCCCTCTTTTAGTGCTGTACACCAAAGGTATCCGCCGAACGTGCTACACAGTACGTCGGGATTTTAAAAGTTCGTTGCCTCCTTTTGCCTTTTTATATTACCTGATCGCGTAAATTATTCGTTTTTCTTCTCCCCTCCCAACCCCCCGACGTGAAAGACTGGAGTTTTGCTCTGGCCAAGGTGGCCGAAACACACGAGGAAGAGATGGAAAGGATGAAAAGAAGAGAAAGAAAAAAGAAAACCGGCGTTGTTGCATCAATCGATTTTTACCAACCAAAAAAATATTTAATAAATCCAAAAAAAAGGCAGAACCAACATCGCAAGTCGAAAAGAAGAAGAAAGATAAAAACAAACAAACAATAAACACGCTGTGCTCACAACTTCAAATGATAGAGCGAGAGACAGCTTTACTAATTTCGAAGAATATATATCAATATATAAAAGTAACACCGCTAATCAACAACAACGACAACGATTTGGCGAACATCTCTTTATCTGTTGTAGCCCTGCAATGACCCCGCTCCTTAAAAAAAAAAAAGCAAAAGCACGCGAGATCAGTCGTTGAAAGAGAACTACACCATCACCGACAAGGGAGTGCTACTACAAGAAAGGAGGAAGCAAAAACGATCCTGTGGTCTGCTCCCCTCCAGAAGAAAAACGGACGGAAAGATAAACAGATAGTAGACTCATTTCATTGCGCTTCTTGCACGTCCGCAAAGCAGCATCGCCTTTTTTTTTCTCTCGTGTGTTTCACCACCTCAAAAACCGTACGCTTCTGTCGCTGTGCGTCTTTTCATCAACACGTGCCGACTTCACATCAAAGTTGCGTTGCCTTCCGCGCTTGTGCGTGTGGGTATTAAGTCAACATAACGCAGAAGAAGAAGATGATTTCACAGACGTTGACACAGTTCGCCGGGGAGAAAAAGAAAACACCATTGGGAACACGTCCACACAGAAACGACTGTGTACTTTATTAACAGAAATAATAATAAAAAGAGGCACTCATGCTACACTGTAAACACCGATCAACAGCATGAACAACAAGAGAACAACAGAGATGATCCGCCGATATTAAAGGACTCCTAAAAGAAATATATATTTATTATGGTTAAAAGAAAAAGATAAGTCGATGCGCATTGAGCGTTTTTCCTTCTTAAACGCGATTTTTTAACGTGCCACTCTCACGCACGTCATTTCTTCTCATTGGCGAGAAAATGTTTTTTTTTTCGCTCTCGTGCGGGTTCTTTAACGGCTCCTTCGCCAACTGTGATGTGTGAAATGCGCAGGAGGCGCCGGAAGTTCAAGGCAGCACGGGAGCACCGAAAAGCAATCTGCCGACACCAAGGAGAAAAAACCCCACAAAGAGAAAAAGAGAGGGGGAGCAGCGAAAGTGATCCATCTCACACGCGACAACAGAGCAACAACCACAAAAACAGTAATTCACGAAAAAGTGAAAGGAAATAAAGGCGCAGAAAAATAAAGAAGAACACGTGTCAATGCGTATTCTCGGCGTTATCGCACCGGAAAGGGGCTCAAACATCGAAGGAGGAAAAAGAAAAAGAAAAGAAAAAGAAATGTGAAAAGACCGTATAGTATATATGAAAGAACGCAAAGCCGCTACGTGCCGTAATAACACAAGCACACACGTAAAAAGGAAAGGAAGGAAAAAGAGCCAGCTCCTTTACAGATCCATTGATGGCAGAGACCCATTCCGCATTGCACCCCCTACGGTTGCGTTGGGGCTAGCAGCGAGGACATTTGCAAAGAGGAGTGCTTTCATCTCCTCCTACGAACGAGTCATTCCTTTCTTTTATTGGAAAGGCATCGGCATCACATACATGGGCTGATTAGTGGTGTTCTGCATGGCCTGCGGCATCACGCCAGGAGACGCCTGCGGCACGATGTAGCACTGCCCATTTGGTCCTTGCATCACCATGTAAGGCTGCGTCATGAGCTGCGGCGGTTGGGCAGGCATCGGGTACATCATCTGCTCCTGGCCGAAGTGCGGCGGCGGCGGCGGCGGCGGCGGCAGGCTGCCGGGGGCGGCGTTCATCGGCTGCCACCCACTGGCCGACGGCACAAAAACGGTCTTGTTCGGCGGGCCCGCCTGCACGTTGTTGATGGAGGTGCCGAGCGGCCTCTGGTGTGGTGTGAGGGGGTCGTGGCTGGAGCTCGACGAGCGCGAGGAGCTGAGCGAGTCGCCCTTCTTGTCACGTCCGCTCGTCGTCAGCGGTGTCTCGCGGGTCCGGACACTGCCGCGGCGGGTGCTGCGACGACGGCCGCTCTCGCTGTTCGCGCTGGAGCTGCAGAGGGACAGCGCCTCGGGGTCCGAGAAGGAGCCCTCGGCGCGGTCGTGCACCTTGTAGTGTACGACGTGCACGAACTGGCAGTCCTCGCCAAAACAACAGATGCCGTTCTTGGAGTAGTGTGCGCAGTGCTGCATTGTCACGGCAGGCTGCTCGTTACGCTTGCACTGGTTGTAGTACTCCTGCGCGCCGCGTGTGACGAAGAGCACGCTGCTGTCGTAGGCGTCGACCGGCGTCGGCGTGTTGGGTAGCGCAACGCGGAACTCCACCCCGGGCGGCAACGTCGGGTACGTCTTTGTGGACGTCCACCGTGTGTGAAGGGAGTGTCGCAGAATGAGGCCGTCCGGCATGTAGATGCATGTGCCGATGTCTGTCGCCCCCCCGCCCCCCACAATTGATTCGAGGGGGTTCGAGTCGTCTACTGTGCTGAAGGCCGGCACCGCCGTCCCGGCCGTAAGAGGCTCGTTGAGCTTCTTCGTCAGGATATCCTCCGCCGACGCGAGCGTGACGACGTTCGGGGCACCCGTGGCGTTGCTTGGCACTTGGTACTTGAGCGCGTCCTCCGCGTCATCGACATTCAGGGCGCAGTGCACCTCGCGACAGAGCGACCCGTTCAGGCACTCCTTCGTCCTGTTGTACTGCGAGCAGACGAAGAGCTTGTTGCGGCTCTTGTTCGGGCCGAGTTGGTTGTAGTCGTGCAGGTAGTCGAGAACACCGCGGGTGACCTTCACCTGTCCGGAGGCCACCGTGAAGAGGTGGTCCATGTCGTGGCAGAAGAAACGGACGCAGAACCCGACCGGTAGCGTCATTTTCTGAATTTCCGCCTCCGTCATCAACTCCAACTCATCGATGGAGGGGATTTGGATGGTGTCCCACTTCTTGGAACGCATCTTCTTGCTGCGCGACGAGTTCGCAGAGTGAACGGACATCTTTCTCGGAGATGGTATTCTTCGTTCTCGTTTCCCAGTTCACCTAAGTTTTACTCAGAAAAAAGAAATTATGTACTAAAAAAAAGCTTCAACTGGAAGCTTACACCAAAATCGAAGAAACGGTCGTTAGGCGCCAACCACGCAGATATTAAATTAGCGCTAAGGAAGACCGTGTTTACGCAGCGAGGTGCACGCGTTTACGACGTGGTAGAATTGAGGGAGATCACACACAACGTCGACTGCAACAAACATCAAACAGAAAGGGAAAACAGAGAAGAGAATTTGCTGGACAACGCGCGTGAAGCACCGTAGAAAAACGGAATCCACAAAGGGTGCGCGTGTCAGTATGTTTCAGGCACGTCCAAAAAAACAAACAAAACCAATAACAACAACAACAAAAAGGGCCTTAAATGACACTGCGATGGTCGGAGTAAGGAAAGGTCGTACACGAAGATGCGAAACCGTGGTACAGCCGATCAGCAGAATGAGACGAAGCAAGAAGAACACAACAGCGAAATAAAAAAAAGCGACGTCGGCCGTGACACTTCGTTTTCGAAATCTCCGTGTCGATCGGTTCACCGAAAAAGATCCAGTTAGATGCAATACGTTTTTTCCCTTCTACCTTTGTCTCTCCACACCGTTACGTATAACTGTTTTAAAACAGCGTGCGGCACGAATGGGTGTGCTGTTGCTGTTGCTGTTGCTGATAGGAGCACGCACACAAGAATCACGAAAACAGGAAAACAAAAACAAAAAGAAGAAGATCGACGAAGGCGCAGTAATCAATAAACGACAAGAACGAAACGATTGTCTTTTCACAGATTGTAGAGTGCGATATCGGATAGAACCAACGTGTACGGCTGTAATTACAACACACGCCTTCCAATGTACCTGTGCGTACGTGTGCGTCTGAAAATGCGGAAAAACACACACACACACACAAATGAGGTGACTGCTTCGACAGTGTCCAATAAAAGACGACGTTCAACAGTTCTCACCAGAGTATATATATATATATATAAATAGATAAAACACGAAGGCAACGACAGGAAGGCTATAAAGCGCTGAAGGGTGAATGGCAATTTGCGAGATTAAACGTAAATGTTTGCGTGTGAGATGAAGGAGAAAAAGAGCAAGACAAGAGAAGAAAAACAAGCGCGCACGCAGAACTATTCTGATCGCTTACACCAACAGCTACAGTATCAAAAAGAAAAAAGAAAGAAATGAAAATGATGAGAAGCGAGTACAGAAGAAAAAAAAACGCAGTTCTAACGAGTAGAAGCTAAACACCAGCTCGAGTGAACAGGTATCTGGTTGTGAAATATCACGGAAGAAGACAACCGAACAAGAAATGGCCAGGGCGCCGCACGTTGCAAAGATGAAAGACAGAGTAAGAATTGTAGAGAAGGCGAAAGTTCGGAAAACGAAGAGAACAACGCTTGCTCAAGAAAAATTTGCGTTTGTATAGAATCATGCAGGACGGATTCTTACACACGACAAAGCTGAAAGAAGAGAGAAGGCCGTCCTCCAACGTGCGCATTGTTAGTCTCCGCGTCTCCGTTGATCCTTTTTTCGGTGAAGGGAAAGCGTCGGTATGCAACGAAGAGCTCCAAAGAACATTATAGAAGGAGCACTTCCAACCACCCGCTTTGCTGCCTTGGTGTTCATTTTTCCCTGCGCTATTTCTTTGTGTATTTCGTTCCTATTAATTAAAAACCTTGTTTCTTGAGATTATATGCATACGACAGCTAATACAGTGACATTTTTTGTTGTTGTTTGGTTGTGTTTGCTGTCGCGCGTGAAGAATCAAAAATCTCGGCTGCATGTCAACGAGAAAACAACCAAACAACAACCAGAAGAAAAAAAAAGACATACAAAAAGTAACATAGTACAAAAAAGAAGAAGTGTATCTCGGTGACTCACAGACGCATGAAGTCCCTGCACGGTTCGGATGCTTCCACCAAGACTGAGTCAACCCCATCAGCAGCTAATGCACCGCGCTGCGTATTACAGTGTCTGATGCATGTAAATTCCTAACGAGCGTAAAACAGTGGGTACTTGAATCTTTACTCCGCAATCCCGATTTCTGGTTCCCCCTCTCCTCCTCCTCCTCCTCCTCATCCGTCCCCCCCTCTCCCTGTGTGTGTTCTGCAGCGACCGAATACTCGACCGTCGAGGAAGCGAGCCGAAGTGGACACAAAATCCGAAGCGCTTCGACTGCGTTTGCGCCCATATGCACCTAGGTAAAAGAACAACGACAACATTCAGCACTGACGGTGAGAAAAAGACATGTATCTCGTCGCACCTCCTCAAGTGCTCGCTCTCTTCTGTGATCGTGACGACCTAACACGCCCTTCTCCACATCTCCAACCACAGAAAGGCGATCAGCGTTAACAAAAAAAAAAGCACAATCAAGAGAACAAAGAAGCACTCAACATATATGTATATGTATGTTTTCCCTACGTGTAAGCCACGCGAAAAAAAAAACGGGGAGGAAAACAACAACAACAACCAGGCGAGGTACAGGAAATCAAGTACACACGGCGCACCGCACATGCCCCCAAGGTCAACACAGGAGACCCAAGTAGTACCTTTGTATATGCCCGGCAACACCGCATACACACACGGAGACCAGGCGAGGGAGGGAGGGAGACACCCACCTGCCCAAGAGCAGCGATCGGCGAAGCACAAGAAGAAGCGCATCTCAACGCAGACGAAATGGTAGGATCCCGCCATTTTGAGTTTCCACCATCTCAAACTGATGTCCCGCTTCCTTCCACGCCGAGTTTGTCCTGCAGTTCCGTAATGCGCTTCACGGCATCCTTGCGGCGCTGCCGCCACTCCCCTTCAAGCGACTGCAGCCCGTCTGTGCGGAAGAGAATGCGCATTAATTCTTCGTAAAACCCTTTCCGCTGCAGGTCGGTCAGATTTGTTTTCGTCGCCTTATCAATCTCCGACGTGTCCTTCTCGATCTCGAGCAGCGTGATCGTCTCGGGGTTGGAGTACTCGCCTGCCGCGACGAAGACGCGGGTGTCGGCACGCATGCCCAAATCGAAGAGCTTCGCCTGCGGGTTCTGCGGAAGGATTTTGCCACGGAAGACCACCTGCGCCTCCCCACCAATCTCAGGGACCTCGGCCACGACCGCCAACACCAAATCCACCACGGAGGACTCGCCATTCATCTGCACCTGGACGACTCTCTTGAGGGACGGGATGTGACACTCCACGGTAAAGCGCACGCGCAGGCGGTGGTTGTGCTCGTCCTCCGCCGCATTCTGCACGTCCACCGCAGGGCTGCTCGGCTGCGCCGCGGAAGGTGAAGGCGGTGCCGCGGCTGGCGCTGAGCTCGGCTGCGGCTGGGGCGGTGATGGCGGCGGCGGCGGGGAGAAGCGCTGCGGTGGCGCTGCCGCCGTGGAGGACGGCGAGGAAGACGCATCGACCGCGTCCGTTGCGGTGTTGGGCGTGCGCGCGCTGTTCACCCGGTTCGCCTGCCCACGTGCGCTGCCAACGCTGTTGTTGCTTGGTGAGACGCCTTCGCGGACGGCGGCGGCGGCGGCGGTCGGCGGGGGAGAGGCGTCGACGGGTACCGGCGGGGTCGGCGCGTTGGCGGCGCGTGACTGCGGTGCGGCGCCGTCGGAGCCGTCCGACTCCGCGCTGGTCGAACGCATCTTGCGAGGCGACCTTTTCGGTGGGTGTTTCTTGACGGTGCTGGCGGTCTTGTTCTTCTTGTTGGAGTCTGGCGAACCGTCCGTCTGGCTCATTCGGCGCGGCTCCGCGTTGTTCGCGTTGGTGTTGTTCATCTCCGCCGGTTTCGTCTTGCGCGAAGTACCCGAGTTTGGCGGCGCGGAGGTGCGGGGAGACGTACGTGCCGGCTCCTGCGGTCGTTGCTGATACAGCTGTGGCTGCTGGTGCTGCTGCCGCGGGGGTAGCGGCTGCCTATGCGACTGCATGTCCGCCGGTGTGGCGATCATGAGGGAGCCAAACGGGTAGTCGCACACGTATGAGTTGTCATCTGCGATGAGGCCGTTGTACAGCAGACGGGTGTTGGGGTCGTAGTTGTACTCGTCAATAAGAAAGTTGCGCAGCTCACCGACAGGGCAGGAAAGGGGCAGCGCCAGGTCGATCGTTTCGCCCCGAGTGGAGCGGATTTGCGCCTTTGTCTGCTCCGGCTGATAGCCGTAGTAGGCCATGGTGCGATCTAAAGGCAAAAAAAAGGATCAATATATAAAGATATAAGTAGATTGGCGATTGTAAAGCAAGTGGAAAAGAAAGAAGGAAAAGAAAAAAAACGCAATACGGTGCTGTCTTCTCACCGGAGCGTGTTGTGGCGGCACTGAGAGGATTTTCCTGCAACGAGAAAAAGTCTACAATCCCAATCGCGAAGATGCGTCAAAGTGAGTTGCGAGGACAAAAGGCGCAATACTCGAAAGCCGTGATGTATTTCCTTGACCGATGCAGGTAGAGATGTGGCGGCGTAGGCGTCGAATACGCCTCAATCCACGAGGGCAGAGCGATGTGAAGAAGGGCAGCTTTTGTTCTTGTCGTGCGTTTGACCTTTTCGACGAAGCGAGATGGACTGTGACTTCCCCCTTTTTTCTTTTTCCTTTTTTTCCCCTTTTTCTTTATTTGCGTGCGTTTCCGCATCACACGAGATCATCATAGTCGAAAGAGTGAGAAAAAAAGAAGTGGCATAGATGGGCAGCGAGGGAGCTAAGGAGGCAGTCGTTGAGGATCGCAGCGGCCACGGGGAGTGAGAGAGGAAGGTGGAGAGAAAAGAAAACATCTTTTCCTCTCTTATCCTGTACTCCGCGACTTCAAGCGTAGAGCCAGTAGAACATCTTTTCTTTTTTGAATTCGATCATTTGTGTTGACTTCTACACGAGCAGCTGCGCTGCCAAGAAAAGAGAGAAGAGAATAGTGTGAAGCTGGTGTGACGGGGAAGGGAAAAGAAAGGCGTCGCTATCCACCGCTCTTGGATTTAGGTCAGCGGGGCGTACTGCACCGCCTGGCCGGGAATGCGGTACTCGCGTGCGTAGCGCACCATGATGTGCTGGAAGTTCTGACTTGGCGCCAACAGCACCTCCATGTACGCTTGTAGGTCCTCTTGATTCCACTTCTGTGGGCGGAGCTCGAAAAGCGCGCAGAGGCGCGCCGCGAAGTCGTTGGTCAAGACTTCCTTCGGCATCCACCACAGCGTCCCCTGCAGAGCAGTGCCATTACCGAGGCTGACACTTCCCGCGCCTGCGCGCGGCTCCACCACCGCACACCCGCGAAGTTGTGCCACAAAGAGTTCTGCTGCCTTCGGTGCGTTGCGAGAAGGGACGCCGGCGGTACCGAAGAGCGACGACGGAATGCTGTTCCACCACTTATCCAGAAACACCTCCAGCGGCAGCCCGCGCGCGACCTCGCCGGTGCGCAACGTGCGAGGCGTCACGTCAGCGGCGGTGTCGAAGATGCCGGCAGCGAGACCAGTCAACACACGCGGAATGTTCAGCACACCCGCCATCCCTGCCAGTGACACGTCTTCCTCATCAGCCGCAGCAGGCGACGCTCCGTAGACTGCCTCCAGCGAGCGCAGCACGACGTCGGGGTACACCGCGGGGCACAGGTGGAGCCGCACCGCTTGCCAGGACATCCCCGCTGGGTCGGCAGCATCGAAGTACGTCAGCACCGCTCCTAACGCCTCGAACACGAGGGACGGGTGCAGCAGGCGTACGCGTCCGCGGTGCACGACGGCGCCGATGTCCTGCAGGAGCTGCGCCAGCTCGGCGGGGCTGCTATGAAACCGACGTGTCAACTCGGTAAAGGTGTACCCGGCAGACGCACCACCACTGCTGCTGCTGCTAGGTGCTGCCCTGCTTGTCTCGCCATTTTCCGTTTCCGCGCCTTCTTCGAGCTCGTCAATCGCCACGTACGAATCAGCCAGAACGGTTAAGATGTTCCGCTGCGGGTGAGCGGTGTGGCTGTCAAACATGCGGCTCAGCGACGCCACCACCACGTCGTCGTTGCACTCCGGAACTCTCGCGCGAGGCAACGGTTCCTCCGGCGGCACCGTCGTCACATTTTTTGACTCAGCAGCGGTTTCCTGCAGCGCGCGTGCACCAGTGGCGTTGAGGCGACGCTGGGCAAGCATCATCACGTTAGAGTACTCCACTCGACGCACGGAGCGCGTGGTGGTCTCGTCATGCAAGCAGAGCTGGTTCTCGCCTTTCATGATGAGGACGACCGAAGCGTCTTCCTCGGGGTCTGTCGAGGTGCCAACAGCGGCACGAGCGCGCTTGTGTCGCGACGAGCGAAGGCGTTCCTGTGCGGCTCGTGCTGCTGCGCAGGGATGCTCCCGGAAGCGCTTGAGCCACTCGTCGTCCATTGACAGCAGGCGAAACTCGTGCCGATCTGCGAAGTCAGAGCGAACGAAAATGTGGTTCATTGAACTCGATGGCGGTGTCTCCTGACGTTGTCGTGTGAGTGTGTGTGT